CCCTTATCTCTCGCCTCGGCTGCTGGTCCGGCCTGGTGGCAGGGAGGGAGGGGTTGGTCGTCGCGGGGCGGTGAGGGATGGGGGTCTCCAGCGTAGTGCTCTGCTTCCCTTAACGGCGGCCGCCACGTACAACAGCCTGGGACACCTGAGCTGCACGCTCTGCAACGCGCCCGTGAAGAGCGAGCTGCTGTGGCAGACCCACGCCCTGGGCAAGCAGCACCGTGAGGTGAGCTGCCGCTGGCTTCCCGCCGGGGAGGGTGGGGGGTGGCGGGCTAGGCCTTGGTGCCGGGGTGCACCCCTTGGTGGGGTGGGTCCGGGCTTCAGCTCGGTTCCGCTCGGCGCTGACTGGGTGTTTGTTGTGCGTGAGTAACCGGGCACCACGTGAGAAGGGGGTGGGGAGAGGGGAGCTTACACCGAGCTCACGGGGGCTGGGGGTTTGCTGCTTTTTGAGGTGTACGCTAATAAGTAACGGCTGAGCATCTGCCAGGATAGAGCGGTGCAAAAACAAGCCTGATTGTTTTGGTTTTGTAAAACCTATGTACCCGTTGAAAAAACAGCACTTGTGAGAACCGTCCCGTGTCTTTCAAGGGGCGCGCTCTTAAGATTAAGCTGTTCCCACGTTAGCGACAGCTTTTAACTGTCACTTGTCTGCAGGTCGGACTTGGAAACCCTCTATGGGATTGCTTTGTTACCTGCATGTTATCAAGGAACAGCTTACACGTGGTTAAGAAAATAGGCGCTTTTTTTCTTTATAATTTAGCAATAAAGATAAAAATTTTGTAAAAGAATTTCAGAGAGCTTGTAACTTGGATGCAACCTTAAACATGATTTTTAAAATTCTTTTAAATTCCGCTGCTGCTTCTTGGGAGAAACTGAGAGATTGCATTTAATGTTACAGTTACTGAGGAAAAGACCAAAAGAGCTGAGGGGTTCTTAGTTCATTGCTTGCATTCTGTGTAGATTATCGTGGCAAGGCACAGTGACATGTCTTTAATACTACTGCCGTGTTTTAATTTTAAAACAATATTTTAAGAACATTAGGATGAGTCCAGCTTTCCTGCTCTTTCCTCCAGAGTCTTAGTGCTGTAAACGTCACTGATCTTAGTCATTCCTTTCTCACTCGTACAGCCTCCCTTGTGCAAGTGACAATTCCTCTGCCACTATGTCACATCATGCAAGAGACTGACAGAAGCATTGGTCTTGGTTTTGGTATCCGTGATGTCTGTTTCAGTGATACTGTACTAGAAAGATACTAGCTCAGTTTAATACGCTTCTAGAAGTGCTGTGTTTTAAGCTGCAATCCAGAAGTTCCTGCTAGGAAAACTTCCTGAATTTTGTACTTCTTCATAGAGAGTTGCAGAATTAAAAGGCACAAAGCAGACAGCAACTGGTTCAGCTGCTAGCACATCATCTCATCCTGTCAAGAGAAAAACTGTTGACTTGGAAAATACAGAGTTAAAGAGAGTAAAAGGTAAGGAGAGAAAAATACATACAAACGCTTGCAGAATCTAGCCTTTTCACATCTTGAATGGTTTTGTTTTGTTTTTTTTCCCCCATGGAAGTGTGTGTGAATACACAAGACTGTTGAGTTAATGTCAGCCTGGTGCTGCTGCAAAGGGAAACTGTCTGTCTTGTTCTTTCCCTGTGAGTTCATTCATCAGGAGAAAACTGCACTTTTGGTAGTTTCCTTCTGGGTTATTTAGTTGAATTAGATCATGGAGCTGCGGGCTTGGTCCAGTAGAACCAGAAATAGTACTGAGAGTTAAACAGTAGAAGCACTTGTCCAGAAATGGTGTTAATCCCTTTCAGTGGGATCAGTCCACTGTTTTACCTCAATCCATGTATGAAAATTCATGCTAAAGGAAAGATAGTTAATTTTTTTCCCTTGGTGTTATATATGAATATATAGATGAAAGTGTGCATTTGTGAACTTGCTGCTGTAGGAGTCTGTCTGAGGGATATTTCTTTTGAAAGCATGGATTGTAAGAAGTGACTCTTGGCTGTTATACAGGTACAGATGAAAAGCCACACACATCTACATCTGGGTAAGTAGATGTTATTTCATTACATATGAGTTTTTGTAACTGTACCAGCTGCTGCGTTCTTGCTCTGTTCTTTCCCATATCCTTCCTAGCCAAGGGTAAAGATTCAGAGAATCAGCAGATCTCTGCTCATTTTCTAATGTGGGTGTATATTCCTGGACATGGCAGCATCTTCCTCAGTACAGATGAGAAAATCATGGTATTAACTCTATAATCGTGATCAAAAAAGGAATTATTTTACTGTCACTATCAACTTTTAAGGATTAATATGTGGTGGTATTGCACAGTTTGCTAGAACAAAAATAAGCAGATTGTGGCATGCACTCTAATGCTAAGCATACTTTAATATCTGTTTAAATGTATATTTAAATGATACTTATTTCCAAAAACTACTAAGGAATGTCATCAGCAGATCTTTATTAACATTTTTGTCACTTAAAATTAATGTAAATGCCTATCATGCAGTTGAACTCTCACAGATACATTTGGCTTCAGGGGATTGGGTTAAGCATCTTACTGCAACTAAAGATTTCTGATGGTATTTGGACATCTTTGTGGGGTTGGTAGATGTCACACGAGGTGTGCAGTTCTCCTCTATGCTTCTTCACAGGATAAATTTTTATTATCTTGCATAGATATTATGTGCTGTTATCTTGACAGTAGAAGGGACTTTGTAGACATTTTGAGTGTGTTTGAAAAAGGAACAGTTTAGAGGTTTGTTCAGCATTATACTGATCAGTTTGATTATTTTAAAATATAACCTGGAAAAATGTTTGGCTTGGAGGCCTGGGTTTTCTCATGGCTGAGCCTGTGTGGCAGTTCAGAGCAACAGTAATAAGTAGCTGTGTTAAACACGAACGTTATCAAGGTTTATGTGACATTAGTACAACCACTGAACTATGAGTTTTGTATTTAATGTGTTCACAGCCAGTACACTGGTGCAAATAACTCTGAATGTGGAAACAGAATTACCTAACCTGCCATTCCTCCAAATACACTTTGTTACGGGATGTTTTTATTAACCTTTCTGATAGAGAATATTTAAATACAAAAGTGGAACTGAACTGTGTTTTCAGCAGTAACATAAGCATTTCTGGGGAACTTCAAATGAAAGCAGCAAGTATGTGCTGCCTTCAGACAGTAATTGGTAGCTGCACAGTTTAGGGTGTTGCAGAATACCTCAAAGATCATATTGCTCACAGATTGAATAGGCTTTGGATGCTAGACTGTAACTGATTTTTGTGAAGTTTAAAATAGTTAGGTTGTGTGTTCTTTACTAGGCTACCAGCAGACTTTTTTGATGAAGTGGAGCAAGATCGCACAAATGAACGGCTTTCAAAGGGTCCAGGTCCCAGTTTATTGTCAGGAAATTATGATGATGATGATGATGATGAAGAGGAAGAAGAAGAACAAGATCAATCAAAAATATCTTCTGTTACACATAAAACTGAAATTCCACCTCCAACTGAAGAAGTAATAGCTAATTCTCTGCCTGCAGGTAACGATGACTGAAATAATAAGTGATTTGGTAAGGAGAAGCTGTTTTAACTGATAATAGAAGGGTTTTCATTTCTTCTGATTATTGCTATAAGCTGGTTAGGATGTGTAATATTGGAAGTAGAGAAAGGAGATTCTTTGCTAGTTTGTTATTGTGTTGTGTTTTCTCAGCATGTTACTGATTTTATGTTCTAATTGTTTGAGGCTGTCATGTGAAATAATGTCTGGCTGTTCTTCCCTTGATTCAGTAAGGTATTAATTGAAATTCCTATCCAGTAAGAATTTTATAAAGAAGTTTGAACAGTTGTTCTTTTTGTTCATAGGCTTCTGTCCTTTCTTATAGACTTCTTTGACAGCAAAACTACAGCTGCTCCTATAGTTTCCCATTCAGGATCCATACAGAAAGCAGAGATACAAGAGAAGATAGTGGAAAGGTAAGCATTCAAATCAAATACTGATAGATTTGGGAACTGTAAATAAGTGTTATTCTTCCAGGAAATACAGACTGTGATCACTTAGAAATCTGTCATATTGTTGACTTGTATTTGAAATAGTTTGTATGTATGGCAGCCTCTAGCATTATTTCAGACAGGTATTTCACACCCTAAGGGCAGGATAAGAGATGGAGCAATGCCATACAGTGTCTCAGACATCTCCATTTGCAAATTTTAATGCAGGATACTTTGAAAGCTTAATGTTAACCACTGCTGTTAACTGTTTAAAGAAAACCATTTACTTGTTCTGTAGTAATGGTTCAGCTCACTCAAGCACTTTTTGTAGGTAGTGGTTTAGGCTTTCAAAAGTAGAGACTGTGCTGTTAAAATGTTTTCGTGCTCAGCACACTGGAAAGAACAGTTTAAGAAGCCTAAGCTATAACTCTTGTTTTGACTGAGATTTAAACCTGTCTCTGCAATTCCTTGTAAATTATGTAAGACCAAACGGAAGAAGCAAGTTTTGGTGGTTGTAGGTAAAACCTGGGACATAAAAAAATCTTGCTCTATTTCTAGGTCCTTTTATAAAAGATTCTTGATTTTATTCTTGACTATTTTTAACTCTACCATAAAGCAGGTTGTAAAGTGTTAACTTGGGATAATAGTAATTAAACATTTCAGGAAAGAAAACACTGCTGAAGCTTTGCCAGAAGGTTTCTTTGATGATCCTGAAGTGGAT